AAAAAAAAAAAAAAAAAAAGTCTGAATTGTAGTTGAGTCCTTCACCTAGGGAGTGTGCCATATATGTAAGGATATACCCTCTTACACTGCACTCATTAGGTGGGAACTTAGCGAGCCCACTCCTCCCATTCTCTAATTTAATTGTGTTTTGCTCTCTTGTGGGCCTGTGGTTATTCATCTACTATTTTCAAATTAGTACTGAATACATGGGATGCTCGTTTTTCCACTCTGGAGATACGTTACTTAGGAGAATGTTCTCCAACTCCATCAGGTAAATACTAAAGATGCTAAAGTTTCCATCTTTTTATGGCTACATAGTATCCCATGGTATATACATATATACCATATTTATCAGTTCATCCATGGGTTGATGGGCACTCAGGCTCTTTCCACATCTTTGCAACTGGGAATTGAGCTGCTATAAACATTCAAGTGCAAATGACTCTTTGATAAAATGATTTTTTTCTTTGGGTAGACGCCTAGTAATGGAACTGCAGGATCAAATGGGAGGTCTAATTTGAGTTCTGTGAGGATTCTCCATACTTCCTTCCAAAAACATCGTATTAGTTTACAGTCCCACCAGCAGTGTAAAAGTGTGCCTTTCTCTTCACATCCATGCCAGCATCTGCAGCTTTGAGACTTTGTGATGGGGGCCATTCTCAATGGGGATTAGGTGATATCTCAGGGTGGTTTTGATTTGTGTTTCTCTGATGATTAGGGACGATGAGTATATTTTCAAATCTTTGTTGGCCATTCATCTGTCTTCTGTGGAAAAGGTTCTGTTCGTGTCACTTGCCCATTGACTGATGGGACTGTTTGCTTTTTCTTTGTTGATTTGCTTGAGTTCTTTGTATATTGTGGTCACTAGTTCTTTGTTGAATCCTAACATGTGAACCTCTTCTCCCATTCTGAAGAGTGTCTATTTACTTCGTTGATTGTGTCTTTAGCTGTGTAGAAGCTTTTAAACCTGGTCAGGTCTCATTTATTTATTTTTGTTGTTGCTGCTGTTGCCAATGGGGTTTTCTCCATGAATTCTTTCCCAAGGCTGATGTCATAAGAGTTTTTCCCACACTTTTTGTTGTTTTATGTCTTGGATTTAAATTTTTTTTATCCATCATGAGTTAATTTTTGTAAGTGATAAGAGATGCAGGTCAGTTTCAGTCTTTTACAGGAGGCTAACCAGTTCTTCCAGCACTACTTATTAAATAGGGATTCTTTTACCCAGTATATGCTTTGGTTTGTCCAAGATCAGATGGTGATATGAGGCTGGTTTTATCTCTAGGTTCTCACTTCTGTTCTATAGATCTATGTCTTTATTTTCATGCCAGTACCATGCTGTTTTGATCACTATAGATTTGTAGTATAACCTGAAGTCTAATAACATGATGCTTTCAAGAGTTGTTCTTATTTCACAGAATTGCATAGGCTATTCGGACATTTTTTCTGGTTCTATATGAATTATTTTTTCCAAGTTCTTCAGAGTATGATGGTGATGTTTTAATGGGAGCTGTAGTAAATCTCTAGATTGCTTTGGGTAGTATAGACATTTTAATAATAGTGATTCTTCCCAGACATGAGCATGGAATATTTACCACTTGTTAATATCTTCCTATTATTTCTTTTCTCAGGGTTTCATAGTTCTCTCTGTATAGCTTCTTCACATCCTAAGTATTTCATTTTCCTTGAAGCTACTGAGTAGAGTACTGTGATTTTGATTTGGTTCTCAGCTTAACTGTTACAGGCATATATGAAGGCTACTGATTAGTGGACACTGATTTTATATTTCAAGATGTTACTGTATTTCTTGATCACTTCCAGGGGTTTCGTGGTTGACTCTTTGGGGTTTTCTAAGTATAAGATCATTTCATCAACAAAGAGTGAAAGTTTGACCTCCTGTGTCCCCATGTATATACATACTCTTGATATCTTTCTCTTGCCTGATCTTACTGGCTAGGACTTCCAACCAGGCAATGTACTTCTTCATCTTGGTGTAGTCCTGTAAGATGGTATCCTCCCAATCTCTGATATTCTGTCTCTTTCAGTAGAGCTAAGGCTCTGATGGGACAATAATTAAGTTGGCTCTGTAGCCATTCACACACTTGTACACTTGTTCAGGTAATTCTTAAAATGATGACTGTGCATAAAAGTTTGGTCCCTTTGACACAGTCCTGGCATAATCCAAAGATTTAAATAATTAAGGGTCTAGACAATGGAGATGAAACGGATGCTTGGGAGGTCACAAGGGAAGTCAAGATGACTCCATTTTAAGGAAGTCTCTCAGTATAGTCATACTGAAGGGAACATGCAAGCACTGGAAAGGGGCCAAGAAGAGTCAGAAATTACTAGAAGGAAGCAGATCAGGGAGTATTTGGCTTATAAAAGGAGTATGTTAAGAAGGCAATTAAAACTTACTCTCTGATAAGGAGCTTAAAATAGCTACTAGACACAGTCATCCAGGGCTTGAGAATTGATCTGAGGGCTTCCTTAGGTTAAATATTCTTTAAAGTCCAATGTTGAATACATTTAAAATTTTTAACTTATACTAAGATGTCTAATTACTTTTAATCTTACTGTTATAGGTAGAAACTAGAGTTCTAAAGCACATAGTAGAATTTTAATTTTGTAGGTAGTATAGATAGGCCACAAAGAGGCTACCTGTGGAATGTGGTAGTCTGGTTTATACCAGTTTTCTACCACTGGTTACTCAATTTCCTCACCTATAAAATCAAGATAACAGTATTATGCTTGGGTTGCTGGGAGGATCATTACAAAATGTCCTGGTAGTCATCAGTGCTTACCATTTCTACTTTCCCATCTCCAGTTCTCTCTGGAGAAGCCACTCCTATCAGCCGTTAACTTCACCGCTTTAATGCAAGGTTGAGGTCACCAACAGTGTAGGCTTTGCAGGTCCCTTGGATAAATCTCAGAACTCATCTAACTCAACATCTGAATTGAATTTAACGGAGCTGATCCTGGCCTGGTCCTGCTTTCTGCCTCCCGCACTGGTTCCTCCCTCTCATCTTCTTTGCTTTTCTTGTCTTCCCAACTCTTCAGTGTTTGAGTGTTCAGGGCTTGCTTGGTCCTCCCACCCCTTCTCCACTTACTCATATGGGTTTAGGAGATGCATATACCCAAATGCTCATCTGACATTTCCATGTAAACACCTAACAAGTATCTCACATCTAAAACTGACTTCTTGATTTTGCTCCCACAATGCCCCTCCTACAGTATTGGTCGCCTCAGAATATGACAGGTACTCAGGAGAAAGTCTCTAAGGCAAAGGTTCTCAACCTTCCTAATGCTGCGACCCTTTAATACAGTTCTTCTGGGTCACGACCCACAGGTTGAGAACCGCTGCTCTAAAGGAACCCTTGATTTTGCTTATCCTGTCACAACCCACATTTAATCCATCAGCAAGTCCTATCAGCAATATGTTTAAAGATACACCCAGTCTTACCATTTCTCCCCCCTCCACTGCTAACAGCCTGGCCAAGCTACCACCTCTTTTTCTTGGACCACTGTGAGAGTCCCCAGCTGCTCTCATTGCTTCCATGTGTGTTTCTGGAAGGCTATTCTGTGCACATCTATTCTGTCAAAACAGAAGCCAAATCCCATCATTCCCCTGCTCACAACCTCACAGCTCCCCAACACATGAAGAGTAAAAGCCAAAGTCCTAATTGTGACCTAGAAAGGCCCAAAGAGGTCTGGCTGCTGACTTCCCCCTGGCCTCACTTCTGACCATTCTTGTTTGTGTTCCCGCCATGTTAACCACCCCCCCTCCTTTTCTTCAATGGGCTGAGCCTACTCCATCCTGAAGCTCTCCATGCTTGCTGTATCCTCACCCTCCTCCCTCCTATACTGGTCTCAGAGAGCACACTCAAACCACCCCAACCAAAATGCCACTGCTCTGATTCCTGCCACTTTCCACTTCCTTCCTCTTTAGATTTCTTCACAGCTTTAATTATTATTTATTATTTCCCTCCTTGAATATAAGCTCTGAGAGAGGGAATGTATCTGTTTTGTTCACAGCTATGTTCCTATACCCCGAATAGTTACCTATTTAAATTTTTATTATTGAAAAATGAGCACAAGCACATTGCCTTTTTCAGATGTCCACATTTGAGTAAAGTCCAAACACTGAGTCAACATATCCCATAAAAGATATAGGAAGTGCAGAATGGTCCGTCACAGTCAATCGGCCTCTGCAGAAAGAATCACACCCTCAATCCTTATAGTGATATTAAATTTTGCAAGAGACAAGAAACTCTGTCAGTACTCGGTAGTAAAAGGGACCTATATAAGACATATACATGTATTCACAGAAATACACGGCTCCAAAAGAAGAGGTAAATATCTACCTTATCAGCCATCACAGAGGCAAAAAGGAAACGTCCCCCAAGACCAAATGAGTAGATTTTCACACCAATAGTTTTGAAGCTTTTTCCCAAGTCTGAAGTTCTCCGTAATTCCAGAGCCCCAAGGTCAGCTTCTTAAACAAGACAAAATATTAATTAAAACTCCACTTACTCATGAGCCTAGTTCAAAACAGCTGCTTAACAATTGTTCTTAATTTTATAGCTAAAGCATTTTTAATCCTATGCATGTTGATAAAATGATAATATAAATGTGATATAGCATTAGTTATAGGGAATTCACAGTTGAGTTTTTATACTGTGAAGTTTTCTTTTCTTTTTTTTTTTTTTTTCTGAGATAGAGTCTTACTCAGTCACCCAGGGTAGTGTGTCATGGTGTCACAGCAACCTCAAACTCTTGGGCTCCAGTAATCCTCTTGTGCTCAGCCTCCAGCATAGTTGGGACTACGGGTGTTCACCATAATGCCTGGCTAGTTTTTCTATTTTTAGTTGAGACAGGGTCTTGCTTTGCTCAAGCTGGTCTTGAACTCCTGAGCTCAAGCAATCCACCTGTTTTGGTCTCCCAGAGTGCTAGGATTATAGGTGTGAGCCACTGTACCCAGGCTTCATGCTGTGGAGTTTTATGTTGGACGGAAAGACAGAGTTTACTTAATTCTAGTACAGGTGCATAAAAGTATCATAGGTACAACATCCTGCCTTACTTTCTTCATGGCACAGTTCAAAATTATTTCTTCTTTTTCTTTTATTTTAGAGACAGGGTCTTACTTTGTTGCCCAGGCTGGATTTGAACTACTGGACTCAAGCAATCTTCCTGCCTCAGCCTCCTGAATAGCTGGCATTCTAGGCATGTGTCACTGCATCTGGCTCTCATTCTAAGTTGTCTTATTTGAGTTCTGGTTTTCTTGTTTATCATCCAATACCCCTAATCTGAATTTTCTCTCCATCTTTAGAACAGTGTTTAGCATAGAAGCAGGTGCTCAAATATTTGCCAAATGAATTAATGAAAGATTTTGCTTTTTGCTTTGAAACTGTACCACAGATTGGAAATCCAATGGCTTCTGCCAATAAAAACATAACCCATGCTTTCTTACAGAAATCACTATGCATTCTAATTTGCCATTATTTGTAGCCTAATATTTTCATATAAATACACTGCTAAAATTAAGAATATTGCCTCTGTGTATAGCATACCTTTTATTTGTGTACAGTGCAATAATTTGGTTGTCCTTCCAAGATTTTAAAAATCATTACTGACTTTATTTAGCTATTAAAATTTCAAGAGAATGAAAGGATCTTTTATGTTTCTACTTCACTTCACACAACATAGAACATTGTACCATAATGGCCAGCAGGACATTCTTTTCTGAAACTAAATATACTTACTGCAAGAGCCATTCACATAGGTGGTAAAAAAGATGGTGTTTTCTGATCCCCTACAACGAGGCAAAAACAGGGAAAAGAAAAAGTTTAACACTGCTAATGGATTGTGTCAATGTTTGTCACAAAGCTCTTGGCAAGTCTAATGAGCTCCATCCACAGGCAGTGCACAATGCAGCCTTTGCGGGTGCTGTGCTCTGGTCCTTCCACAGCCCGGTCAGTCCAGCTCCCCATAGCCTGGCCCCGTGCATGTTCCCACTACTTCTTTATGTGAACTCTTCCCGCCAGTCACACTGGTCTACTCACTTTCCAGATTTGCCCCTCATATTTGCTCAGACTGTTTACTCCCTTAAATGCTCTTCTCTCATGTAACCAAATCTTATGCTCCAGCTTAAAATCTAGGTCTTCCACAAAGCTGTCCCTCCAGCTGGAAGGCTTCTTTGCTGGAAAGTTCTAGAGCAGTGGTTCTTAACTGGGCAATTCTGCCTCCCAGGGGACATGTGACATTGAAGACAATTTTGGTTGTCACAACTGGAGCAAGGGGGGCAAGGGTTGTTACTAGCATCAAATAGGTACAGGCCAGGGATGCTTCCAGGCACCCTGCAGTGCACAGGATGGCCTCCCACAAGAAAGAATTACCTGACCCCACATGTCGTTAGAGCTGATATTGAGAAACCCTGTTCCAGAGCACTGTGCCGTTGTACACAGCACTTAGCACTTGCTTCTCTCCTATTTTTAATTTTAATCACATAGTTTGTGCCTTATCCCTCCTACTATCCTAACTGGCTTCTCAAGGCAGGTACTAAGTTTTGGGCTTTATTGTTTCCCCTCAGAATCTAGTTCAATGTTTTATATAAGCTAAATAATTTAGTTCTTTCATCTCAAATAGACAACTAGGTCAGTGGCTGAATTATTTAAAATGCAACTTGGAAAGGGAGTTTGCAGGGAGCTAGATTCAGATTCTGATGGTCCTTATAGATTACTACCAGCAAAAGCTGCAGGGTTTCAGCATGTTCTTTCAGGAATTAAGATTAGAAACGGTTATCAGCAGTCAAGCAAAAAAACATTACTGAAGTAAAACACTCTACATAGGATATAAAAGGAAATATCATTTTAAAATAATTTTTCAGCTTTAAAGATAAATTTTAATGATCAAAATTACTATAATCTTACTTAAACATGCCCTACATATTTTAGGGCCATCAGGAGTAAAACAATTTGTTAATAACTTTGTCCCCTTAAAAATCCCTTTCTGATTAAGACCATATAAGGTACAAATACAATTCATAAAACGAAAGCAAATGTGGCATGTTGCACTGGTGCTGTGAAAACCTCATTACCTCATTACATGAGCATTTCTGGAAAAGGCCCATTTTATTTAAGCAACACATTTAATATTTTAATTAATTTTGGTAGACATGTTTCAAATCTGTATCCTACACTTTCCTGATTCCCTAAGTAGAGTACATTTTAAACTCTTTCTCGGTATTATGAGTCCTCATCATGAACATCAACCGTATCAAACTATAATAAAGCGTTCCCATTAGAAGTCACTGAAGTGTGTGTACTTTCTTAGTCTAGCACTAAATGATTTCACACTGTTACACTCTCTAAGTTTCTGTCTACAGGGCGGCCTCCTTCCAGCTCTCAGGCTGTAATTCTAATGCTGTCACATGCTTACTGCTAGTAGCTACATATCCCAACCTGGAAGCAATCTGCTACAAACTGGGAAATCAGATTAAATTTGTTGAAATTAGTCAAATAGAAAGAAGAAAGAAGCTCTAAACAAGGGTCTGAGCCTAACCAAATTTTGGAGGCATGAAGGCTCTTAATTCTCCCACATTTCCCAAATAAATCTCCTTGCACAGATGGAAAAAACTAAAGCCCAGAGAAGTTAAGCCACTGACTAGCAGCAGAGTGAGGTTGGAACAAAGGTGACGTGACTCCTGAGGAAGCGCTCCCTCCACTGCACCTTTAAGAAGGCACCTGGTGGGGCCGGGGCATCCCACCGAGAGAAGTGAATGCATTTTGGTGCACAGACAGTGTGACTCTGGGAGTCTGGAAGCTCTTTCAGCTTTCTTCCTGGTTCCATGTTCTATCTAACTGAAATGGATCTCTAGACAAGGGAATATAAATCTGGGCACAGAAAAGTCTTTAAATTCCCAAATTAAAGCTGTATTTTATTATATTCCAACTGATGTCACCATTCATGGAAAATAAACCTTTTGCAGGCAGCAGCTACTCAGTTGCATGCCTTGTTTTATACGTTATATTCCAACATTTAGTGAGACTAAGTCTTCTTTTCCAGCAGCATTAGAAGCTCCTCCAAGTCAAGGTCTGTGTCATACCCCTCTCTGGTATCCCTTACGGCACCCTGAAGAGTACTTGGCACATAGTAAGTGCTCAGTATTTATTCACATGATTTTTGGCAGCACTATCAGGAAAGGTTTAGGGCTCTGCACAGATGGAGTCTTCTGTTACTCACCATTTGGCCAAACATACTGCTTTGTGGATTTCTTCCCATTTTCCCCCAAAATTCTTGGACACCCACAGGCCATTCTGAAAGATTATAAATGACTTATCAAAATTCCAGCTTTATCCTGTGCAGCTGCTTGTATGACCTTTAATAATTCCTATCCAATCATTCAGGACAGTAAAACACACACTGAAGTTCCATCAGAACTGCCTGAGCTCTATAAACACACACACGGTTTATCTAAGGCCCTTTGGGTCTTGGAATTTCAGAATAACAAATGCATATGAAGTGCCTACTATGTGCCAGGCGCTGTACCAGATGTTGCACTGGGGATACAAAGATGAATAAGACACACTCCCTTCTCTCTAGGAGGTCACAGTTAACAAAGGACATAGATAAGAAGGAAGTTTCACACAATGCAGTGTTATGGAAACACAGTCTAGTGCAGAAATGGGGACAAGAGGGCCACTGCATCACAGACAGTTTTCCTGAAGAGGACAGCTGTACTGAGGTTTAACTGATGAGCAGCATGACCAAAATAAGGTGAGCAGGGAGATGAGATGTCACTGCACGCAGACAGACTGGTGCTAGCAAAGGCAGGGGTAAGAAAGCACCGCAGTGTGTGCGGGGAGCTAAAGCCACTGGACATTGATGGAGCACAAATTCCAAGGTGAGCAAATGAGGAGGAAAAGCCAGGGATAGATGCGAGGGCAAGCTCATTGAGAGCCCTCCTTCTATGTCATGTTGAGGAGTCTGGGTTTTATTGTCCATCAGGGACTCTGAGGAGCAAGGTATTCTAAGCAGGAGAATGGCCTAGTCACTTTCACCTTTTTAGGTAGAATACTTGGATGAGAATGGGTTCTGAGGTCCTGAAGCCGTTCATGAGAAATAGGTCCTCCAAGAATTTAGAAGCCAGAATAGTAGAACTGGATGACTTTTCCCGTAGGGCAGAATGGGAGGAGGGATGGTTGCGTGTGTATATGTTTAAGTCAGTCCCTCTGGATTTCTGGTTGGGGTATAGGATGCATTGTGGTACCATTAACTAGTATAAAGATTAAGGGAAGAAGAGCATGCCTGAGAGAAGAGCAGGCAAATAGCTTAATTTTAGACTGACTTGAGGTGTTCCTGAGATATCCAGCTAGAGATACCCAGGGGGCAACAGGATAGTAATCTGACACCCTAGGAAAAAGCCAGATAGAGATAAGGATTGGAGAATCTTACATATTATAAGTTATAAGTGGTGGTTATACAGTAAGAGTGGAAGAGATTGCCCAGAGTGAAATGGACAGTAGGCATTTAAGGGTAGGGTGAAAAGAGTTTAACAAAGAGGCCAAGAAGGAATGGCCAGAAAAGTAGAAGAACCAAAGAGAATGAAGTTACAGGAGCCAAGCACATGGAGGTTCCCAAAGGAGGGACTGGCCAATATTTGGAAATGTAGCAGAAATTTAAAAAGGTAACAACTGACAATGTCAATTATACTGACAAAAGAGCTTCCTGAGCTCAGCTTTAGGGAGCTGGGACAGAGATGTCCTGGTACAGCTGGAGTTAACTGGGGATGATCCAGGCAGAATTTATCTTCAGTGTCCCCACCCTCGATCACCATTCTCCTTCAACTTTTCCTTCTCTGGTCATATTCCCCTCCCAGCATTTCTAGTTTTCCCGATTCTACTTATAAAGCCAAGAAAGGGTCTGATATCACTTATGTGCACATTAGTACACATCGTGTATCTTCCCATCCCTATTATTTGTACTTCAAAGTTACCCTTAATTGGAAAAAATTTCAGGTATAAAAGCAGAATGTACCTGTCTCAGGATTCCTGAGAACAGCCCTGTTTTAATAACCTCACGATACTCAGTAATGGAGATGATGTGGCAGAAGAGATTTGTGGCCCTGCCTACCCCTGTGGAGGTCTCTCTGCTCCCTCACAGGGCCTTCAGCTTAAGCTGCTGGAGGTCAATTTCCAGGAACTGCTGTTTTGAGATCAGAAGCCTACCCCTAGCAAGTTAGTTTCCTTCCTCTGGCCCCACTGAACATAGATCTGACCCTCCTGGAGCCCCCCACCCAGCCCCGTCTCTGCTCAGGGGCCTCCTCACAGAAGGCGCAGACCCACACTTCTCTTTTAGGGCCCTTTCCCCTTTCTCTGCTAACCCCGTGCTCAGCCTGACTGGTCCACAGCTGACAATCTTGCTTCTGTCCCCAGTCAGTCAGTACAGTAACTTTAGCATGAATACTCAGTTGGGGAGCTTGTTAAAAATATTAGCCACTCTGCAACCAAAAGCCATTGATATAGTCTATCTTGGGTGGGGCCTTGGGATGTGCATCTTAAACTAGTTCCTCAGGTGCCTCTGATACCACACTCGGCTGCCCACACTCTAAGATGAGAGAGAGCCATATAAACATCAAAGAATAATTAGACTAGTAGTCTAGCAACTCAGCCATTTGGGGTCCTTAAAATCCACAATAAAGCAGACTGGTCCTCCAGGAAATGAAAAGCTCGATGTACTCCTCAGGGGACTCTCAGAAGAGAGGTGGGAGGGTTAGGGATAGACACTGGTTTCTATAGGTGGGGGTGCAGGGATTGGAAACTTTGGGTATTAATACATGAGTGTCAAAGACAGAAATCAATATGCTTTATAAATTGGGAAACTAACAAAAAGAAAAATTATAAAGATGTGGTTTGGCTTTAGGAAAGGAACAATAAAGATATTAGGAATTTGACAACTGATGCTCGTCCTCTGCGGCACAAAAATGATGACATTAAACTGTTTTCTAGTTCATTACTCCAAAAGCACATAATAGTCACTTAAATTATGACAACTAGACATTACACTTACCTGGAGTAGATAGCATATGGAAACTGTGTCCTTTACTAACTAGGGGGAAAAAGGCAAAAATACATACTCCATGGCATAAAGGAGACACTAGAAAGAAGTCCAACATGTAAGAATTACCAGCAGGGCCCTTCTAAGATGATATATTTTTGAGACTGTAGAATACAAAGGTAAGGCGAGTTCCTCAACTGGACTTACTTCAGTGCTGAGGGCTAAAAGATAATCAGAATTCTGAGGGCTATACATCATCTGTGTGAGAAGATGAAAAGGGAGGTCTGTCTGAACAAAGTTCTTTGCAAAATCTGATGATCTGAAGATTCTTCCTCCGCGACTTCCTCCAGACACCTCTGCGGTTAATATCACCTGATCAGGAAGAGGAGACATCAGATTTAAGATAATACCATAAACACACAGGAAGGTCTTGCACCATTTTCACCAGACATTAGCTAAGAACATTTTAGTCCCCAAAGTAAAAAGAATTATAAAAACAGATTAATTGCTTCACTCCACTCCTCTACTCTTATTCTGTTAAAAAACAACATCCTGAATTGAGCCACTGCATCATCCCTGTGAGTCTGAGCCTGGTCAGTTTGAGATTAGTTAGTTTCTCAAAATACTAAAATGCTGTTTTAGGGACATTGTTAATGCTAAACAACTGTCTCATAATTATGAAGGGTTTTGCTGCATCTTGGGCAGGGGCCAAAAAAAGAAATCTGCATGCTGAATTCCATTCTGAAGTAAGATCAGTATTTATGTTTAATTTTTAAATATAACAACAGGAAATTAAAATACACTACCATGTACCACTGGATCATTCCAATACTAATATCTGACAGCCCTGTCTGCTGTATCAAGTACAAAATGTATGCAAAAATGAGTCTCACCTTTCCTGAGTTCTCAGGACCAATAGCCATGCCAAATTCAGTTCGAATGAAGGTGTTATTGATGAGATTTGTAATATCCTTAAAGTTCTTTCCATAATCCTCACTAAAGAAAAAAAAGGCAAATTTAGAGTGCAGGGGTCATGGATATTGTTGGGTTCCTATTTGGCTTTCCTTCCCTCTTTTCCACCAGCCAGGGGGCCTTATTAGTCTGATGGAACCCCCCCACCCCCACCAATGATAGTCGAGAATAGGGAAGTGACCCGCATTGAGCCAGAGAGACAAAAGAAAGAAATTTGGGGCTTCTAGAAAGCATATTTCTTCACACTTAAGGTAGCCCCTTTATGAAATGGTCTGTCTTCCTTTAGGCCATTGGTTCTCAATCAGGGTGTTTTTCTCCTCCAGGGAACATTTGGTAATGTCTGGAAATTTTTTTTGGGGGGGGCCGGGGAGACAGAGTCTTACTCTGGAGCCCTGACCAGAGTGCCATGGCATTATAGTTCATAGCAACATCAAGTTCTTGGGCTCAAGTGATCCCCTTGCCTCAGTTTTTCTATTTTTAGTAGAGATAGGGTCTTGCTCTTGCTCAGGCTGGTCTGGAACTCAGACCAGGTCCACCCACCTCGGCCTCCCAGAATGCTAAGATTACAGGTGTGAGCCACCACACCCAACCAAAAACATTTGAAGAGAAGGGGTTTTGCTCTGTCACCCAGGCTAGAGTGCAGTGGCACAATCATAGTTCACTGAAGCCCAAAACTCCTAGGCTCAAACAATCCTTTTGCCTTCACCTTCTGAGTCCGAGTAGCTGAGACCACAGGTGTGAGCCACGACACCTGATCTGGAGACATTTTTTATTATCACAATTCAGGGCTGAGATGCTACTGGTATCAAGTGTGTAGTGGCCAGTACCAAGTATCCTACAATGCACAAGAATGTCCCACAATAACGAAGAATTATCTTGAGCCAAATGTTAATAGTACCTAGGTTGAGAAATGTAGTTCTAGAAATGTTGACAATGTAGTACGTGAATACAAAGCAAAACTTGCTATCATCATTTTGTCACAATGAGAGGACAGCTAAGGTAATACTAAAATTTGTTGAGAAGCAGAGCCCATGATGCTGAACTAAACTGACCCTAAAGTCTGTCCTTATTCTGTATTTAGTTATGTGAGTCAATAATTCCCTTATTACTCAAACGAGTTTAAGTTGGGATCTCTGTAAAATGCAGTCAAAGCCTCGTAGCTAATCTATTAATCCACAGTACTTATGATAATGCTATGTATTACTCGGTAGGGGTCCTGAAGTACTTCCTCCTAGAGGTTGCCACCCCTACGCACAAGTCTCTAATTCATGCAATACATACAATATTTCTAGGAAAACCAAACTTAATCTTAATTCTTGGGCTTTTAAAGCTTTCCTCAAAAGTTCACTCCAAAAATACCTTTTAGAGATATTTGAATCCATGTATAGATTTTCGAAAATAAAGAGGAAAAAATCAGTATCTAACTCCAACAGGTTTAATACTATGTACCGCTCTCTTAAAACACAATACAGAATGCTAAATCTTAATATTCATGAAATGTAAGTATTTATTAGTAAAGACCACCATGCACTGCCATATCTGTATTGCCTACAGATAACTGTAATCTGCAATGGTCTTTACTGATAGAATACAACCATGTGCCTCATTACAATGACATGTCTGTCACCAATAGATGGCATATACAATGGTGGTCCCCTAAGATTGTAATACCGTAGATTTACTATGCTTTTTCATTGTGTAGATACACAAATATTTACCATTGAGTCTCAAGTGCTTACAGTATTCAGTGGAATACATGTAGACAGGTGTGTAGCCTAGAAGCAACAGGCTATATGCAGGCCACCTAGATGTGGGCTATACCATCCAGGTTAGTGTAAGTGCACTCTATGATAACTACACAATGACAAAACTGCCAAATGTCACGTTTCTCAGAACACATCCCTGTTGCTAAGTGACACATGACTACACATGACTTAAAATGATGTTCAGGTTTAGGCAGCAGCTTCAACAGGTAAAGAATCCCAGAACCACAGAGCATGAGAGATGCAAGGATCTGAGGAGAATATCAATGAAAACTACAGAGCAATTAGTTGTCATAATCCTTAGCCCCAAACTGGAGACAACTTTTAATCATTTGTGAGGTGTATTCCCTCAAAGACTAGGGTCTTATTCCCTCTTAATCTTGCCGGGGCTGTGACCTGGCAGTAGAGATCACGTAAATGGAAGCTGGACAGGAGGGACGTAAGCACGCGTGTACAGGTCTCCGATAATACTCTAAAGCAAACTACGTGCGTCTTTAAGTTGTTCAGATGACTCTTCTCCTTCCCTAGTGCGCGCGCACACACACACACACACACAGAGAAAAACCCTAGATAAATGAAATAGAGATTGGGCACCATGCAACAGATTCCTCTATCACCCTTTCTTTGGCTCTGAAGTAGGTCAGTGCTTATCTTCCTGGCAACCGGCCAAGAGATGTACATAAACAATTCCTAGCTCTACAGTGCGCATGTCACCAACAGCCCAGAAAACCTTCCAAAGGGGTCACAGAATCTTGACTATCACTAGTTTAAAAATCTCCCCTCCAGGGTGGCGCCTGTGGCTCAAGGAGTAGGGCGCCGGCCCCATATATGGGGGGTGGTAGGTTCAAGCCCGTCCCAGCCAAAACTGGAAAAAAAAAATCTCCCCTCCTTCATGACAGACATCCCCAGGGAACCTCTACAAGTCTGTTGGGAAACCCGCTTGCTTTTTAAGAACTTGGCACAGTGGGTGGCACCTGTGTCTCAGTCAGTAGGGTGCCAGCCCCATATACCGAGGGTGCCAAACTGCAACAAAAAGCCAGCCATGCATTGTGGCAGGTGCCTATAGTCCCAGCTACTCGAGAGGCTGAGGCAAGAGAATCGCATAAGCCCAGGAGTTGGAAGCTGCTGTGAGCTGTGACATTACAGCACTCTACCGAGGGCAATAAAGTGAGACTCTGTCTCTAAACAAACAAACAAAAAACCCAAGAACTTGGCACAACAAACATGTCCCTGCATTTCAGAAAGAGAAACCAACATGAAGGAAACAAAAAATCACCTGCTACAACACTCTGGCACTTGAGCTGGTTAAACAAATGAAGAGAATAAAATAAACTGCTGGCAACTTGGTAGGATTTAAGTAGGGTTCTGTCAAAGACACTCGGGCCCAGAGATATATTTTAACATAACAATTTATTTAAACATACCTTTATTTTCTATCACATATGTATCAGCAGATAACACACACCATGAAGAGGAAATCAATGAAACATCTTGAAATATAAATCTATTTTTCAAATTCCACATGACAATTAACAGAGTTACGAACAGGAGACAAATGATTAGTAAACCATTAAAACCATATGCTTTAGAAACAAGTCTTTTTAATAACAACTCTACACACCAACCCTACTATCCATTCTTTTTGGTTACCAAAAATAGATATCACTTTTACAGGTATTCATAGGGTAGATATGCATAAGAATATACATAGTATGTTAATAACTCAAGAAAATAATGCAAAAAAATAAGTATATTTGGACTAGAGCTTGTCTTAGTCCATTTGAGCTGGTGTAATGGAGTATCACAAACTGCGTAGCTTATAACACCAGAAATTTATTTCTTATCATTCTTTCTTATCATTCTAGAGTCTGAGAAGTCCAAGGTCAAGGTGCCATCAGATTGGATGTCTGGTGAGGGTGTGATTCCTAGATCATGGACTGCCATCTTGTCACTGTAACCTCACATGGCAAAAGGGGCCAAGGGTGATCTCAGGGGTCTCTTTTATAAGAGCACTAATCCCATTTATGGGGATTCTGCTCTCATGACTTGATCACCTACAATGACCCTACCATCTAATACCCTCATATTGGGGGTTAGGATTTCAGCTTATGAACTTGTGGGGGACACAAACATTCAGCCTATAACATTCTTCAAATTCATGTCCTTCTCACATGCAAAATACATTAGTTATATCCCAACTGCTTCAAAAGTCTTAACTCATTCCTGCCATCAGCTTTAAAGTCTCAAATCCCAAGTGTCATCTAAGTATCATCTAAATCAGATACAGGTCAGACTCAAGGTACAATTCATCCTGAAGCAAAGTGCTGTCCACCTATGTACTTGTAAAAGCAAACAACTTATGTGCTTCTAAAATACAATGGTGGGACAGGGACAGCATAGCCATTTCCATTCCAAAAATGAGAAACAGGAAAGAAGAGAGAGGATCCCAAGTAATCACAAACTATAAGGCAAACTCCATGAGGTGGTAAGACTTCAGAATGATCGATACTCTGGATCAATACTCTGTCCTCCCGGCCCACCGCGTGGGGTTCTTCCTTCCAGACCTACTGAGGTGGTGGTCTTGCCCTGCAGCTTTGCCAGGCAGGAGTAGGGCCCCCAAGGTTCTGGTAGGCCCTGCACCAACTGAGTTAAGTAGAGGCCATTTGGCCCACTGAAAACAAGGTGATGGTCCCTCCTTTTGAGGAGGCATTCTTGATGATCCTTGAGTTGCCTTCAGGATCATTCTTCCCTTCTTTTGAAGAATAACACACGTTTGCAGTTAAATAGCTTTATGGTCCTACTCTGTCAAATCCAAGTAGTCTTCCCTCATGCCCGCCCTTCAGTTCAAATCGGCAGTTCTCCTAATGGGGTAGCTGATTAAGTCTAAAGTTCATATCCATACTAATCTCCTTATCAAATGGTCACTTGGCTACATCCTTAGTATTATAATTTTTTAAATATGAACAGATTAAGAATTTTAAGAATCTTTTAAGTTCTGCTTTCTTTTTGCTGAACAATTCTGTAGTTAAGCCATTTCTTTCTTCTCAGATTTTACTATCAGCAGTCAGGAGGAGCCAGGCTGCATCTTCAACACTCAGCGTAGAAACTGCATCAACTAAATATCCAATGTTGTTGCTCGCTAGTTCTACCAGCCACAAAACACTAGAACATGGACCCAATTCAGTTAAGTTCTCTGCCAGTTTATAACAAGAATTATCTTTTCTCCATTGTCCAAGAACACATCTCTAGGCTTAGCGCCCA